TATATATATATATATATACACACACACACACACACACACACACACACACACTTTTTTTTTTCCTGTATTAAATTTTACAGTTTCTATAAATCTAGATAAGTTAAAAAGGCAATCTTATGAAATTTAAGAAAAGCCATACTAGTTATTGAAAAAACGTTCATTAAGTATGCATCCTCTGCATTCCTGTCTGCAGTGCACAGAAGTTGGAAACTTGAACAATCATGGCAGTTACAAACTAGTATTTGAAAGCATCCATAGTTTTTTTACCTTTTTCTATTGTGTTGAGCTAGGTGGGGTGATTTGTTGTACAGGTGCTTCTTCCTAAGATATCTTTTTGTACACATGTATTCTCCATTTGACTGGATGTGATTCACTTATCCACTTTATAGAAAATATATGAAGGATTTTCAAATGCATTTATTTTGTGTGTAAAATGAAAATTGTAACTGTTCAACAGATTTATACTCACTTATATAACATTAAATAATCCAAGACAATTACAGACTGAAGATTAATTTCCTCTCATGTATAGCAAACAGGTAGTTCCTTGGAAAATTAGGAGTATATTCCAATTTCAAAAACAAAATAATGCACAAGAGTAATAAAAAAAATCTGTTTTTGTAACTGTAACAATAATCTATAACTAAGCATGCCAACAAATCTGATTAACTTAAAACAAAATTTGTAGACTAATTTTTATGATTTTCCATGAAAAAACTAACATGTAGATATTCAACCATTAATCATCTTTGAAAGAACGTCTCCAATTTTCAAAACTTGTAATCATTGAATTAAAAAAATTTTCCAACCAAGTGTTATATAAAAATAACTATGTTACTAATATTGTTATAATTGAATATATATAAAAAAAAAGGTTTTATCATCCATTAGATTTGCATTTAAAATTGTTAGCTACATTTAAAAGAGAATTGAGCAGTTCTATGGACTCAATTGATTTCGTTATATTTTTAAGACTGACGGTGAAGAAAGATTAAGAACATTAATTTTAACAAATGATGGAACAGAAAATGGTGTTGCAAAGCCAAAATCCATGGTGGTTCATCCAGAAGAAGGGTAAGCTTTTTACAAATAAAGTATTTTCCATCTTTTCTCACTAGTACTATTCAAACAAAGGATTCATTACAGTACATGAGTTTACTTAGAAAAAAATCAAATTATTAACATATATATATATATATATAATTTTTTGTTCAGATTCTTGTGCTTCTGAACTTGAGTTTTACATTTTGTTTTATTTTTAATATTGCTTAAATTTATAGTTCCTATTTTCTTCTACACAGAGTAACACAGTAGTAGCTAGAGAACAATAAAAAAGTCGACAACTTTAAACTGTTTAAAAATAAGTATGATTAAAAATATTGATTTTCTTATATTTTTGATAGAAATCTCAGATTTTTTTTTTTACTTGAATGGCTGTAGATACTACTCAAGCAGTTACAAAAACAATTAATGAAATAAATTTAGTTTTGGTCTCATTATTGCAGTTGTGTAAAAGGCTATTTTTGTTTTATAATTTTATGTATTTTTTAAAATTTCATCATAAACTTCTCCCCACCCCCCAGTGGCACAGTGGTATGTCTGCAGACTTACAATGCTAAAATCTGGGTTTCGATACCTGTAATGTGTAGAGCACAGATAGCCCATTGTGTAGCTTTGTGCTTAATAACAAACAACAAACTTCTCCATCTTTTTCTTTCTAACAATGGTTTTCACTGATTCTGAAAGTTTCCAAAATTCTTTAATAAGAAAAAAAGATTATTTAAAAGTGAATTTGGATTTAGTTTCCAAAATGTTATCTATTAACATGCTTATAAATAAAACTTAAGTTAATAGTTAAGTAATGAATGTTGAGGTGCATTTTATGCTAAATTTGATATTTCTACTCATTTTACGTAGAATGATTTCATTTCTCTTTCTTCAATTTTTATTTAGTAAATTGTTCTGGTTGGATGAAGGTGGTGTTGGTGTTCCTCAAAAACTAGCAAAAGTTGACATGAACGGAGCCAACAGCACAATTCTTGTAAAGGAAGGACTTCATCATTTAGAGGTTCTTGCTGTTGACTTGATAAGCAAGAGACTATACTGGAGTCAAAGTTTCCCAGGGATTGTAAGTTTATCAAAAATCCATTCACAGTTTATTTTCTTTATATGAGTTACAATGCTTGTATTTTTTGGTTTTGTGGTTTTGAATTTTCTGACTGCTTTATAGTTTTATCATAAAGTAATTTAGTTTAGTGAGATTAGCTTCACTATATAAACAGTTTTTCTTTAAGAATTGTTATTTGAACAGGTTTTCCTTGCTGCTATATATATATATATATATATATATATATAAAGTATTTGTTGAAAATAAGTATTAACATTTAGGTAACTTTTTGTGAAGTAGTAGATATGTTTAACCCATTCACCATATACGGCACACTCGCATTTCCCTGCTGGAAACAGACCATACCTTATACAGCGAATCAGCAGTCAATGGATTAAAAGAACCTGCACAATGACTGTCAGAATTGAAAATCAAAAATATATATATTACATTCCTTTTTGCCAGTTGTCAAATTGAAAGTCTTTTAGTTATATTTCTTAATAGTATAAATATATGTATATATACTATGTTGTTGTTGGGTTTAGGATTCTTCTACAGTAGGTGTATGTGACTTATTAATGATAAATTCAAAGATGAATAAATAGAATGCACTTCACTTGTTTTCAAAATAATATATATATTTCGAACAAGTTAATGTATATACAATAAATTCTTCAACACTATAGATAATATGGACATATAATTACTTTAGAATTTCAGTTGACAAGTCAAACAATTTTCTCTATTTCTATTGCACTAGTATTCTCTGTGATTCGCTTACATTTGTGGCACGAGTTACCGTAATCGTTTTGTCTTCTTTCTTTTGAAGATCTTCTGTTCCTTTTGTCAACGTGCACTCAGGCTGATTCAGTTATTTTAGAACCATGCTTTGACTGAATAGAATTATTTTTCTTATTGTATTTTCTACTGTTAGTTTCACTCAACATATTAAATGTTAGG